ACTGCCTTTTACAAGTTAAGTAATCTCATAAAGGCCACCTACCAAGTGGCAGCCAGAACAAAGCTATTCCTGACAGCGCCCAGGCTCATAGCCTTCTACCTTTTGCTCCTTCTGTGTTCAAGCAGGAGAAAGTCTGCAAGCAACTTTCTCCTGAGACATGCTGCCCTGAGAAGTCAATCCGCTTGGATTCTGTTACTTTTATTGGGGTGTCCGTTTTTATTGCGGTGGTAGAATTTTTCAACTGCTTTATACATTTTGTCTTTGAAATGATGTTTTGATTCCTGGAATTCATGGTTCAGAGAATAGTAGGAAAAATGGAAAAGAACAGAGATATCGAAAGAAGTAAACTGCTTCCTTCTTGACTTTCTCCAGTCAAAGAGACTGAGAAAAGTGGCAGCACTGCAGATCCAGCTCATTTTCAGAGGCCTTGACTTCCTCTGCTTCCTCCATGCTGGGTTTGTCTGTCAGTGAAGGAGGCAGTGTCTCAGGTGTGGGGTCCCCTTGTAGGTCAGAGGTAATGAGAGGAAGGAGGCAGAAGATGGCACTTCCCCTTCATGAGATTTACTTCTTTTTCATTTTATGCTTTTAAGAATAGGAAAGTAGCTTCACTCCCTACTTCTGTATTTGTAGAGAAAAGTATTTGCTAGAACTGCTGTGTTGGCTGTTGTGAACAGAGTAATGACCTTGGTAGACCAAAGAATTTCTCATAGATTGATAGGGTCATTGAAAAATATTCAGAGGTTATCTAGTTCAGTATCCTGACCTGCACAGGAATGATTTCTACATTAGTACTTTTCAAACTGTAGGTGGTGACCCACTAGGCCATGAAATTTGGTGGGCAATGACCAGTGTTAAAAAAAGAAAGAAAGAAAGAAATAGGGCCCTTCCTGGTGGTGCAGTAGGTTAAGGCACAGCACTATACAGCAGTCAGCCACTGTGCCCCAGTTTGATCCCCGGCCAGGGAGGTGACTCAGGCATGGCAGACCTCCCCTGACCCGCTGCTGCTCCCCTCAGCAATGTACTTCATCCATCTGCCTGTTCTGCTCCCTGCTTTGTCTGGTGAATCCTCTCACCTCCCTGCACTGCTAGCCTGTACCCCAGTTCTTGTATGCATAAGTAAATACATCTTTTTAAAAAATGAAATAGCGTTTTCCCTTTTAAGTTTTGACTGATGTGTTTGCACATACTTAGTATTACTCTAAGAACCGAAAGTTTTACAAACCTGTTGCCTTAGACTCTGCTTAAGAATTTCCCAAGTAGGGACACCCACTTTGAGAAGCTCTGTGGACTGTTCTGTTAAACTGTTATGTTCAGTGTTTCCTCTGTAATAATGCTGTATACATATTCACAGATTGAAAAAAATCTATTTCATTTGTTCCTTGACTTTCTGTCTAGGTCCAACCAATACCCACAGTCTTGACTACTTTTCTTGGGTGTTCCACTGTGACTCTGAGTCAGTGAAACAAACATAGAAAAGTAGTAAAGGAAAAACTGTCTTTATTGGACTAGATAGGAAATCATACTTATTAACAGGGTGAAGTTACTATGCAAACCTGCGGTGGATTATTTGATTTAGCAACACAGTCAGGATTAAGGGTCAGGAATACTTCTGGAAAGTAGTTGTTAAATCAACTGTGTTATCCCCTTCCCATCCATGTCTCAGTTCTGTCACTCTGCAGAGAGGTGGCAGGCGCCTGTCACTATACTGTGATCGCCTGTTTTCCAGCTGTGTCTGCTGCAAAACAAGATTTTGCAAGGCCAGAGAACATTGTCTTATTACTATAGTTTCAGTGACTGTGCATTATAGACAATCAGGAATTATGTTTTTATGTTTTGAACTATATAAAATAATATTTACTGTTTCAAGTGATTTTTATGGAGATAGAAATCGATTTACAAAAGACAAGATATATGGGGTGATTAAAGTGGACATCACTTTGAAAATCAAAACTTACTTACCAGATGACAGAAAAGAAATTGGAACATGTTCTAAACTTATAAGGTGAAAATTAATAGCTAAAGTAAAATTTCTGTAAGACAAGTAAGCCTTTAGAGACAATGGAATCATTGTAGCATTGCATGATAAACCTGCTATATTACATCCATGTGGTGATTTATACTTTTACATATTCAAGTTGCATTCACAAAACTGTTTAGTAAGATAGGAAGATAGTAGCGTTTCCCAGTCTTGCAAGCTAGAAAACAGTTTTGATGCCACTTTGTTCTAAGCATCATTTCAGCAACTGGCTATTAGCACTCATGTTGCACTGAAAGGACCATAGATATACCATAGTGTGCTATTTTAACTAAATACACATTTTTCCAAGTTGCAAAATTCAATGTTTTAGTAACTTGCAGTCATGTGAAATATTGGTATGCATTTGTGTCTACCTTTGCAGATACTGATGGAATTAAATGCTATTGATTTAGAATGGGCTATCACTGGGTTTGAAAGAGACTTTCAAAGGGCGAGTCTCCTTGGTAGCTCGGCCTCCCATCCTGGGTGCTGCTGTCAGACATGGCAGTGATAGGATGCTTGCTACCTCTTGAGGTGGCCTGTTCCTCTTAATAGATAAGGATGTTAATGAAAGGATGCTGAGTACGGTAGGAATTAGAAATCTGTATGTATAGAGAGATTGATATTTAACATGGGTTTGCAAATGAGGTAGAAGCTTAGTCTCTGGGATAGTGGAGGTGGAGATGTAGCCCTAAGGGAGAGAAGTCCTCTAGGGGTTGGATGGTGCAGGAGCACTTACTTGGGCTGGATGCTGTGTGTCATTCCCTCTCCTACCTCTCCTTGTCTTCAAGTCCCCAGTGGTGAAATAGTTATACTTTGTGCTTCTGTTCTCCCCATCTGCCAGCTTTGAGAGATTAAATAAGTCAGGAGTTTCCAATAATCACTATACACTTTTGATTTCAGACCTTTAAAATGAAATTATGACTCTTATAATTTAAGTCTTTTTTGAAAGATGGCCAGGCCTTTGCTAAATAGAACTGCCAGACAGCTGTAGTCAGAATGGACCAACCCCAGGCAGACCAGGACCCATGTACCTGGTCTTTCTTTTCAGTACCCTTAACAAATGATGGCAGCTCCTGCTGAACACTGACCTGCACCTCGGCCCCTTGGAGTGTACTGCTTTTAAAGAGCCTGATGTAGCAAGGGAGAGAAACTGAGTTTTCATAAGACCTAAACTCTAGTTTGAACTATGGTGCTGTCTGGCTGTGTGACGTGAGCCCAGTGGGTCCGAGTTCCCTTGTCTCAGCATCCTGGATTCTGTTGGCAAGGTCATTGTTTTTAGTCATGAGATAATTGCTCTTGAAGTCTACTTTGAATGTCATCGCCCCCTCTTACACACATAGTGAACTACCAATCATCCTTAAAACCTAGCATAAATGCCCCTTTTTCTCACTTGTGCTTTCAAGCACCAAATATATATTGAGAGCACACCAAGTGCTAGATATTGGGGGAATAGCATTGAGCAAAGCAAAGACCAAGTCCTCAGAGCTGGATTCTTATAGCCCTCTCTTAGCGATGGAGTGTCATTCCCCACAACCCCTGCCTAATGCCTTGCTTCGTGGAACCAAAGATCAAATGCTTGCTTCTCTAGTCTTTACACTTCTATCTGAATTTATGACCTGAGTTGACTCTCAAAGACATAGAGTAGGAGGGGCAAAAAAGTCAGAGTTGCTATGGAGATTTTCTATGCTAGTACAGTAATTGCCAGCATTTGTCGACTTTCTGTAAAACATAGGCACCTGATAGAAAATTCTAGACTTCTAAATTTTGATATTCTCCATGCTGCCTACCAAGGCTTTCCTGCTGCCTAACCTAGCATGCGATGAAGAGCAAGGACTTGCACAGTCAGCAGCATGGTGTGATGTGCCCATGTAGCAGCACCCCCTGACAGGAAGCACGTGCGTCTCCCTTTCACCTGCACATGGGCCCACAGGCATTTCCTGGCCATTGTTCACCCGGGCTGCCTTGGCGCTGTTTCTGTCCTCCAGTGAAGTAGACTGGAGCTGGGTGAGCGCTTCCAGGCCAGCATCAGCCTCTGTACAGGCACGGGCAGATCTGACTGAACAGACTCTGGAGAGCCTGGGAAAGGACAGCCTCTTGTATACAATCATGGTAGCCTCTCTTGTTGCCACATGTGTGCGCTCTTGTCCATTTTGATTCTTTGTTGGTTCGATTGCCTCTGAGCAGTTTACTTAGGGAAATTGCTGTTGTTGAATGATTATAACATCACAGGATTAGGCTGTGGACATCCTTGGCTTGGGGACGCAAACTGTTCTACAGGATTCATTGAGAAGAAACTTGACTCTTTAAGGTTCATGTGAGAAGAAGTTTGGGGTTGTGTGCTTCATCACTGTGTCCTTTGTTTTCTCATTATGAACTAGTGACTGAAGGCCTATTTTCAGTAGTAGCTGGTTAACCTGGTGGGTTGCCCCTGCACTTACCATCCGGATTGCTACGCTGAAATGTCTCTTGGCTGTGTGTTGATTAAAGATCTTATTCTGCCTTTTTAGTGCAAAGGTTATGTCTGCAAGATGAAAGCAAGAAAGTATAATAAGGTTAAGCTAGACACTGGTAGTTTCTCTTTTTAGAAGCATGAAGTAGTAATTGTAGCCTCCAAGTCTGTATTTGTTTTGTCCTGCTCCTTGTGCCTGTTGTTAGCAGATGACTCGGGTAAGGGAATAGTGGGCACTCTTTATCATGCCATTGCATAATACAATTCCAGACTGTTCTATAAAAGGCAACCATCAGAGGGTAGTGACCCCAGAGTCACCACCACCTTCTGCAGAGCTCATTCTGCACCCACCCTCTGTTTGCATAAGATAGGAATAATATCAGGTGTTACAACAATCTACTTTTCTTTACTTTTGATGCAGGCACTGAGTTGTGTTTGTTTGGTGATCGCCAGAGGAGCGATCAGACGCAGGTCCCAGGAGAATTAGTAACCCTTCATGCTCTCTGGTGTTCCCTCAGTGTGGGTCCTGCCACCACGACGGTCCGAGTGGCTGAGCTTGGATGAGGCCGGTGCAGTATGTACAGCGTAGAAGACCTCCTGATCTCTCATGGATACAAACTGTCCAGGAATGTCCCAGCACCAAAGGAGAGCTACGAGGGGCGCCAGCAAGCACGATCGAGAGCACGAGCTGGCCCTGCACTGCTGAATGGCTGTGAGGATCGCCCCAAAGCCTCACCACAGAGTAAGAAAGCACTGGGGAAAGGGCGTGTGAGTGAGACTGAAAAGAACAGCCGCATTCTGAGAGTCCACGGAGAGCCCCAGGGCGCGTCTGCTTCTAGAACTTCTGAGGCAGGGTAAGCTCCACTGTGAACCTGCCATTCTTCTTCTTCTTTTTTTTTTGACTTGGGGGTCTTGCAGCAGGAACAATAAAATCCTTTACTCCTAGTATAACCCCAGGGGGCCAGGGAAGGAGAAAGGGGCCAAGACACAAGAACATTTCCTTCCATAGGGGTAGTTAGGTTGTTCCATTAGCACTTTAGCATAGGGCCTGGTCAGGGCAGGCCTTCTCCAGACTTATTAGTGGTGAGTAAATAAATAATTCTGTCATGCTAAATGCTGCATTTTAGTACTGTTTCTTTGTTCCTTTATAAGCTGCCTCAGCTAGGAATCACTTAAAAACTCTGTAAAGTTAGTTTACATCAGACACACATTCCTAGTACTTGGGCTTTCTTATTATTATGTTTCAATAATTTTTACATTTCAGAGTTGAAAGAGACATGTATTTTCCTTTCTTCTCGTGTACTCATCTCATTCCCCTGGTTCCCACTCTGCCTTTCCTGTGCACACACAGTGGCCCTAATGTGGGTGTCCCATCTGAATACAGCTGTGTCTGTGCATGTTTTCTTACAACAACAACAACAAAAAAAGGTTGGCTGACTGGGGGAACCCGAGGGTTAAAGAAGAGGGAATTTCAGCAGCCTGCCACAGAGCCAGAATGGGAGAGGAGTCCTGCAACTCTCATCCAAGCAGTTCCAACCTAGAGGAAACCTTTGTCATCACTTCGTAAAACTGTGTTTACCTTTAGTGCCATATTGGGTTGGGCTCAGGCGGAAGGTGGGGTGGGGGGGGACTGCCTGTGTAGCGCGTACTGTGTGGCTGGCGAGAAATGGACTGAGGTGACAACTGGAGGCAGGGGCCCATTTTTAAGGGAAACACACAAGCAAGTGAACAGAAAAGGGACTGACTTAAATCTTAAGGGAGTGGACTAACCTTGCGTGGTTCAAAGGTACCTTTTCACAGAAAGAATCTTCCTGTTGGCTGGTGGTTTTCAGGCAAAGGTGGAAGGGATTGTGCTTATCATTGATCGCATTCAAAACTATGGCAATTGGTGAAAGTGAAGGTGGTAGCCAATATTCATGCCCAGTGGTGGAGAAGCTGGTTTGTGTCACCCAGGAAGGAATGCTGCTCTGGCAAGGACCAAGAGTATCATTGATGACCAGCTACAGGAGCCCAGAATGGAGGAAGGACTTGAAATTGCCTTTATTTTTTTCCCTAACAGTTTATTTTTACATCATTTTGTACATTTTTTTTTTATCCATCTCAATTGTAATCCCCACGGGTTTCCCATCACCAAGTCACCTGTGTGCCATCACCATAATCCTGTGCACTTCCCTCCCCATCCCCCTGTTTTTGATCCCATTCCCCACTCCACCCCC